TTTTTTTTGGTTTTTCTCCAGTACCAGGAACTGAACTCACAACCTTGTGCTTGCCAGGCAGGCACTTTGTCACTGAGCTAAATCCCCAGCGCCTAGTAGCTAAATCTTGGAAACAGCCCAAATGCCCATCAACTGGTAAATGGATAGAGAAGATGTGGGTTTTTTTTTTTTTATGCAACGAAGTACTACTCTGCCACAAAGGATAAGCCTAAGACATTTCTAGCTAAGTGGATGTACCTTGAGACCACATTCTTAAGTGAAATAAATTGGACACATATGTGTAAATACCACTTTGTTTCTCTAGTATGACAAACTGAAGGTATAAATAAGGACCAAAATGTATAACAGATTTTGGGAAATGGGAAAAAAATGTTAAAGTAAGAAGGAGAAATAGGGAGGGGGAGTGCAGAAGAAAGGGACAAGAAAAAAGAACAGAAGAAAAAAAGGGAAACAAAGCTTTTGTGAATAAGGAGGGAAGGGTTGAAGGGAGGGGAGGGGAATGGGAAAAAAGAAACAAAATATATCACGTGCAGGTACAAATTCCTATGATGAATGTGATCATGTATATCTAAACTGTACCAATAAAATAAAACACACACACACAAAGAATTTTCAGTTGGCCATGGTGGTGATATAGGGGAAGTGACATAACTTCCGACCTGAAAAATAAATAAACACAGCACCCCTCTGTTCCCAGCTCCTGTTGCAGCCCCTCTGCAGTCCTTAGGCCTGACCCACGCTCAGCCAGTTCCCGCACGGCCCGGCACCCTGACTGCCCCTGCTCTGCTTTCCAGAGCGCCGTTAGGGGTGTGGCTGATGGACCAGGCCTGGCTGGGCCTAAGTCAGACGACTTCACACAGAATCTCAGTTCTCTTCCTTGTTTTTGAGTGGTGCAGGTCTCAGGATTTAGGGAATATGCAGGCCTACGCCCCTCACACGAGAAGGGACAAAAGATGTTAGCCGGGTGTGGTGGCGCATGCCTGTAATCCCAGCACTCGGGATCGTTGCAAGTTTGAGCCCAGCCTGAGCTACAAAGTGGCCTCAAAGCCGGCCTGAAGTGCTTAGCAAGACCCTGTCTGAAAAAAGCAAAGAAAAAAAGAAAGGACAAAAGAGAAGCCAAGACCTGTGGGGTTTCATTAATCATTAATTCACGTGAATGAGCACCCTGACTTTGTCCTCTGGTCTTACTCTGCACCCCATGCCCTGAGAAATGTGTCAGGGTAGCTGGGTGTGGTGGCACATACCCATCATCTCAGCACTGTGGGAGGCTGAGGCAGGAAGACAAGTTTGAGCCCAGTTTGGGCAATTTAGCAATTTAGTAAGCCCTTGTCATAAAACAAGGGCTGCAGATGTAGCTCCTTGTGAACATCCTGGGTTCAATTCTCAATACTTTAAAAAAAAAAAAAAAAAAAAAGGCAGGTCAGGTCATCAAGGCTGGCTCCAGCCAGGGTGTGGCTGTGGGACTGTGCCAGGCACGCGTCCCACTTCATGCCTGGAGGCCCCGTTCGGCTCAGGTTCCTTCTGTGTCCTGGAGGCCACTCTTACCTCCACCTTAGTCCTCCAAGAACAGGACAGCACTGAGGACAAAGAGCAAGCTAAATGGTTAGAGTGACTTAATGATTAATATCCGGGGCCTCTCCCAGTGAGAGCCATGACCCAAGCCTCAGGTGAGGCTCCCAGATCCAGTGCAGGAGCCTTGCAGGCGAAGGCTGAGCCGCACAAGGTGGACGAGCACAGGGCTGCACTGGCACACGGAGAGCCTGAGCTCAGTTCCACCAGAGTCAAAAGTGGTCATGAGCTCAGGAGGCTGAGGCAGGAGGATTATTTTGAGTTCGAGACCAGCCTGAACTGCATAGTGAGACCCTGTCTCAAAAAGACAAAAAAAAAAGTGGCCATGAGGTGTCATGTTCCCTTTGCTCTGAGGCTGGCGGACTCCTCCAGCTGCTTCTCCAGGGTCCCCTCTTGGCGTGCCCCCCAATTCTGCATGGCCCCACACCCAGGCCCACAGCCAGGCAGCCCACAGCTCAGCCACAGCAGGCCACTGGGAGCAGCAGCACCTGCGCCCCTCAGCAATGCCGGTCCGTCCGTGGCTGAGGAAGCCGTAGGGGACAGATCCCACGGCTGTCACCGCGCTGCCCCTGCATGCCCGCGCTCTGCCCTCTCACCTGCAGGAAGCCCCCGGTGCAGCCCGCTATGAAGATGTGTGTGTAGCTGGGCAGCTGGGCCCGCCGGTCCTGGTGGGAAGTGGCCGTGAGCGCCTGCAGGGTGTTGCTGTAGACCCCAAACAGGACAGAGTTGACCACAGCTATGCTGGCAACCGGGAAGCTCATTCCCTTGAAGAAGCCCCGGATCTGCAGAGCAACGTGGTGGCACTACAGTAGGCAGGGCAGACCTCCCCTCTGCCCTTTCCAGCCTTGGCCAGGTCCCCCTCTGGCCAGACACCACTCGGAGCCCTGGCCCAGGGACGCGGTGCAGGAAAGGCTGGGATGGCCTCAGCTCTGTGCTACCACCTGGCCCCCCAAGGGTCCCAGATTTGGTCTTCTGTCTTCCAGCAGAGCCTTGCTGGGCAGGAGAAGGAGCTGGTGCCTCCTCCCGTGCTGCCACCCACCCCAAGGAAGACAGACAGCCACCCACCGACTCGTGGCGGTAAATTTTGACCATGCAGTCCACGATGCCCCGGTATGTGTTCTGGGTTTGCAGCCGCACCTGGATGGGGGGAACAAGGCAGGTAGGGCCGGCAGGCAGCCAGCTCTGCCCTCCGCCCCAGGAGCAGGATGCCAGCAAGGCAGAGAGGTTCAAGCAGGACTGTCCACCCCTCAGGTGCCTCTCCTAGACTCACCTTTACGGTGTCAAAGGGGTAGCCCATGACCAGGCCCAGAGCTCCTGTGGAGACAAGAGCGTGCTATGAGTGAAGACCTCATGCCAGGGCCAGGAAGCAAGTCTGAGAGAGGAGAGGGGATCCAAGCAGGAGGAGAGGAGCCCAGTCTCCTCAGACACCTGCTGTCCACCTCCCATCGGATGTCCAGAGCTACCCGTGCCCAGCCGCACACCAGGCACTGGCCCTGGACGGCGCTAGGACAGGAAAAAAGACCCCCGGCCCACCCGAGGAGATGCACGGAAAGGAAGCACAGAAGGCAGGGGCACCGTCGTCTCAGTGTTGTGGCTTTGATCCAGAGCAGGCCGTGCCCTCCTGGTATGTGCAGCCCCCCTACTGCAGCTGGGGGGACCATGCAGGAGTCCTGCTGGCCCCAAGGAAGGAGGCCCCGCCTCCCCACTTCCCGGACTGCTTCTGGAGCTTAGGGGAGGTCGCAGCCACTGAAGGCATTTAGGATGTCCCTGAGAGGAAGGCCACCAGGAGCTGGGCTGGGTGCACACCCACAGCAGGCCTCTGGGGCTGGCGTAGCACCCATCATTACCTGACAGAACCGAGGCCTGAATGGGAATGGGGAGCAGCAGATGGGGTCAAAGGTGGACTTCTTTCTGGACTCCACAGGATGGGACCAGAGCCGGGGGCTGTCCAGCCCTCAGCGTGTGCCAGGCTGAGGGGCCTTGGGGTGCAGGAGCAGCCCTTCCAGCCTGTGCCTCCTCCCTGCTGGTCACAAGCAGGAGGCCCTGGGGACAGATGGCTCCGAGACACTCTCAGGGGATCAAGGCTTTCGTCTCAGCTCTTCCTATGCCACCCGCCTTTCCGAGGAAGTGACCCACCCTGCGGGGTGATGTGCTAGAAGGGAGAAAATGCCTCACCTGAAATCCAGCCAGCCACAAACTCCTCCACAGGCATTGTCTGGGCTGAGGTGGGACCCGGCAGGTGCAGCTCCAAGCTCCACAGAAGAGACTGTCCGACTTGTCTCTCTCACCTGGGCCTGTAGATAATCTCCCACTAATATTTAACCCTGGCCGGAGGCTGAGAAAGTGGCCCAGTGCCCAGGCCTCTGGCAGCCAGGAGAGGGGAGCGGGCTAACCTTGGTGACCCTGAGATTGAAAGGGGTGTGTGGAGAAGGCGACCTCACGGGACAGGGTGACAGTCCACAGCAGGCCTGATCCCCCTGCCCAGGCAATGACAGCCTCTGTGTGGCCACGGGTGGCAGCCGAGTCCCAGCTAGCCAGACCCATTGTAGGCTGCCTCAGTCATCCAGGAATAGGCCCAGCCCAAAGTCCAGTTCACCTGCCTTGCCCACCCCACAGGCAGCCAGGCCAGGTAGTGGGAGAGCCTGGCCACCAGGGGGCATCCCAGCTCGAAAGGGCCTGCAGCCCCCGCCCAGGCCAGGGCTGGATGGGAACAACCCAGAAGGGAGAGGAGGCACCCCCAGAAGTGACTCACCAGGCCTGAAGCCCTCTGCTTTCTTGCAGAGGTGTTTGTGACTCCTCCGCGTGAGTCACACACCAGCCTCCCTCGGCCCCGCTCCCCGGGGATGGTTTGTAAAGGACCCTGTGTGTGTCTGCCCCGGCTCCAAGCTGCTCTGTGCCTGCTCACTTCCTCCCTCCCTCTGGCCTTCCGCCAGATGCCAGAACCTAGATCCTGGGCTTCCTGGCCTCCAAACTGTGAGAAAGAAATTCCTTCGTAAACGGAAAGAGAGCAAGGACCCAAATCTGTTCTAGACAATTTGAGCTCTTGCACTGCCACCCACCCTCCTCCGACCTCATGGCCAGCTGCCCCGACTCCTCTTCAACCAGGCCCCGTCTCCAAGCTTTTGCTCCCTCTGTCCCCTCTTCCTGGACACCCTCTCAAATGTCACTTCCCCAGTGAGGTCTCCCGGAATCCGCTCCTGTAACGTGGCTCTCTGCCTGCCCAATGCCCTGCCTGGCTCTTCCTCTTCCCCCCGTGGCACTAATCACTGACACAAGGAAACCACTGCTTATCTTTCTGGACAGACAGAGATCTCTGACTCTTTTGGCCACCAGTGTATCTTATAAGCTTAGAATAGTCAGGTGTGGTGGTGCATGCCTGTAATCCCAGCACTCGGGAGGCTGAGGCAGGAGGATCACTGCAAGTTCAACACCAGCCTGGGCTACAAAGTGAGTTTAAGGCCAGCCTGAACTGCATAGAGAGACCCTGTCTCAAAAAGACAATAAATAAATAAATAAAATAAGCTTAGGATAGTGTGTGGCAAGCCAGGCGTGGTGGCACACACCTATAATCGCAGCACTCAGGAGGCTGAGGCAGAAGGATCATAAGTTTGAGGCCAGCCTGGGCTATATAGTGAGAGCCTGTCTCAAAAAAACAAAAACGAAGTGTGCAGCACAGGGTAGGGACTCAGTAAGTGCAGCTGGATGAATGAAGGAATGATTGAGTGAAATCAGGCAACAGCACTATTGGCCACACCTGGGCCCACTTCTCCTCCTGTAAGAGCAATTCTGGAATGTAAAGGAAATGTTGAAAACTTCCATTTCTAACACTATATTCAGGAACGGGACAAGCAAGCTCAGCCTGTTCTCTTTTTTGTTTGTTTATTTGTTTGTTTTTTGTTTTTTTGAGACAGGGTATCACTATGCAGTTCAGGCCGGCCTTGAGCTCACTTTGCAGCCCAGGCTGCTCTCGAACTCACAACGATCCTCCTGCCTCAGCCTCCCGAGTGCTGGGATTACAGGCATGTGCAACCACGCCCGGCCCCTGCTCTCATAATTAGAAAACAACAGAATTTAGTTAGCTTAGACATCCCCCACGCCAGCTGCAGCTTGTAAGATAAGTGTAGCTCAGGCGGACAATGCAGCCTGTTATGTTTTAGTTGCTTTCAGGTTTTCAAGGACAGCTAGGCTCAGTCTTAGACAATGATTGATTCTTCCTGCTCACCGCAATCCTGATGCCCTCCCCCTCCACCTCGTTATATGATAGTAACCCCAATTAGCTTATGTAAAGTAAGTCTGCCTGACAACATATGACCCAGCCTATATAACCAATTACAAAATAATCCTGTTGGGGCTGGGGATTTAGCTCAGCGGCAAAAGTCTGGCAAGTGCAAGGTCGAGTTTGGTTCCCGGTACCGGAGAAAAACCAAAAAAAAAAAAACACAAAATAATCCTGTTATGTCTTTTGTACTTCCTTCTGAAAACTATATAAATGACTACCTTAACAAAGGTCTGAAGGCTATACTTTCAGGGATCATTTCTATAGTATGTTACTAGAGAAGTTTCTCAGATCATGTAGAGTAACGAAGGTCTGGTGATTGGGACCTCGATATCCCCTAGTCTGCTAGCATAATAAAGCTGTCTGCCTTCCAAAGTGCCTCTGGTGCTGTGTCTTTGTCTGCTCTGGTCCTGAACCCCACATGACCCCCACCCCCATCACTTAAGGGCCCAGGAGAACATAAAGGCCCCACAGCACCCCAGGTCTCCTGGCAGCTCCTGGTTCCCTCCCAGATGCCCAAGGACCAGCCAGGCCTCTGTGCCCTTCTCTCCTCTCACTGCAGCCGAAGCACAACCTGCCCACCCCTGCTCCTCCCTAGGGAGTGGACAGGTCCCAGAGGCAGGGCCCCGTCTCTGATATCCTCTGCCTGGAGCTTCCTAGGGCAGCTGCCCCAAACACGATGAGGCCTAGTCTCTCACAGCCGGTGGGGTTGCCTTCCAAAAACCACTTCCTGTTCTGCCTAAGTGACATGAGCGACCCCTCTGTGGGCTGTGGGGTTCTTTTTTTTTTTTTTTTTTTTTTGCCTTTTTGAGACAGGGTCTCGCTATGCAGTTCAGGCTGGACTTGAGTGCACTTTGTAGCCCAGGCTGGTCTCGAACTTGCAAGGATCCTTCTGCCTCAGCCTCCTGAGTGCTGGAATTACAGGCATGTGCTACCATACCCGGCTCTTTTTTTTTGGGCTGTGGGGTTCTTTATCCCTTGTCAAAGTAGGGGACCAGCCCAGCCAATTTGTGTCCAAGCCTCTCAGCCCTTAAGGCCTGCAGGCCCCTTCTGCTCACTTTGGGCTGGTACCCTCTCTCTTTCCAGAGCCCACCAGCCTCCCCCAGTTCAAAACAGCCCCTCCTCTCTATTCCTGAAACCCCAACAAAGAGAAACCTGCCCTTGATCCCAGCACTCAGGAAGCAGAGGCAGGAGGATCACTGTGAGTTTGAGACCACCCTGGGCTACAAGGTGAGTTCAAGGCCAGCCTGCATAGTGAAACCCTGACTCAAAAAAAGACAAAGAGAGAGAGAGAGAGAGAACCCCGCCCTCCCGTTCTTTCCCTGGGTCTTCTGCGGATTGCACCACTAGAGAGCAGAACTCTGGTCTTGTTCCTCTCCAGCTCAGCTCTACAATGTCCTGCCTGACAAAACCTCACCAAGCATTTTAGGAGCCCTACCGCTGTGCCTCCCCTGCCGGCTCCGACAGTCAGAGCTTTCCAGTGTCCGAACCGTCTCGCTGGGCTTGCTGCCCGCCCCTGCCCCAGCAGCCTGTGTGCACGCAGCCTTCCAGACTCTCCCAGCGCCGGGTCAAGCTTTCCAATCCTTCTTCCTTGTTGCCATAATCCACACCTTTTAGTGTGAGACAAAGGTTAAGTCACATTTCAGGAAAGAAAAACGTGTAAATATTTTAATAATAAATTTATTGAGACACCATGAGATTAATACGTTACCTCTGGCCTCTACAATTGGAAGAGGTGCTCAAAGTGGTGCAAAGTTGTTAACTCACTTATGCAAGTATCTAGCACACAGATGGTAGCTGCTAATGCTCTTATTTCCACTCCCATGAGAGGGACACAAGTATAGGGCTGCGGTGTGTAGGCAGGAAAAGAGTAGAATAGGGGCCTCATTAGGTCGTCTGGCTAAGCCTGACTGGGAGTTAAAACTTCATTAGAAGCCAGTGTGGTGGCACATGCCTGTGATCCTACCACTCAGGAGGCTGAGGCAGGAGGATCGTTGTGAGTTCAAGACTAGCCTGAGATACAAAGTAAGCTCAAGGCCAGCCTGAACTGCATAGCGAGACCCTGTCTCAAAAAAGACAAAAAAAAAGAGAAGAGATTGAAAATCCATGTGCAGCAATCTCAATGACCAAGATTACTCAAGCAGCAGCTCACCATACTAATAAATGCCTGGAAGCTGATAGGCACCCCTCTGAGCACCTCTTCTAACTGTAGAGGCCAAAGGTATCTTGTATTAATCTCACGGTGCCTCAATAAATTTAGTATTAAAACATTTGCACAAGTTTTTTTTTTCCTGAAATGTGTATATATTTTTTGGCAGCCTTTGCATATATATATGTATATTCACTCTAAGGTCACTACATGACTACAACAGAGACCCACACACCCCGTTATTACCTGTATGCTCACCATGACTAAGGCACCCCCTTACCAATTAGCTGCTCACCCCAGACAGAAAGCCCTATCAGGGATAAGTAAACAGACAGAAGCTACATGTAGACCACCAGAAAGGATGACGTGCTCAGAGGTCCAGATGCCATTAGTTATGGTAAGTTACAGGTAAGAGAAGGGTCTTTGACCCCCTATAAAAGAAGCGGGAACAAAGGGCCCACGAATCCTCCATCTTTCTGGATCCCCCTACCCAGATTCTTTTTTGGAGACAGGATCTCACTGTGTAGCTCAGGCTGTCTTTGAACTCACTATGTATCCAGCTTGGTCTCGAACTCGTGGCAATCCTCCCGTCTCAGCCTCCTGAGTACTGGGATTACAGGTACGCACCACCATGCCTTGCAACCCTATCCTGATTCTTGTCAGGATAGCTATCTATCTTCCCTTTATCCTCCTTTCCAATAAAGTCTTCCTTTCCTTAAACCTTGTATGTTTAATGCACTACGGATATGGACTTTACGATACTGGTGAGCTGCTTGCCCCAGCCGGGCAGCAGTGCTCATCCCCCGGACGTGACATCAGGAAACACACAAAAGAGCTCGGTCCAATGTCCAGTCCACGGTAGGTGAGCAGGAATTGAAGAACTTCCTCTTCCTGTTTGCAATGTTTTGTAGCTCTTCTTGGGACACTGTCACCTTTGGTACTTTTAAATATGCTATTTACCTGAGTTTCTCTTCCCTCTTCCTCTGCTCCCCCATTAAACCATAAAGTACACTTCCTAAAGCAGGGGTCATGTTCCCGTGGGTCTCCACTCCCTGCTGCAGCACAAGCTCCATACCCAGTGGAAGCCGGGCATAGTGGCGTGCATCTGTAATCCCAGCACTTGGGAGGCTGAGGCAGGAGGATTGTTGTGAGTTCAAGACCAGCCTGGGCTACAAAGTGAGCCCAAGGTCAGCCTAAACTGCACAGTGAGACCCTGCCTCAAAAAGACAAAAAAACAAAAACAAAAACAACATACCCAATGGGCCCTCAACGCTGAGCTGGTCCTCCTTTGCTCCAGCTGGTTTAGTGATGTGAGGGTCCAGAGCTAGCGGGGGTGTGCCTGCTCCCACCCATTCTTCTCTGAGCCCACACCAGCTTCCTGGAGTCCTTGGGTCACCCTTGCAAGGAAGACATTGCAATGGGCTCAGCTGGTGCCATATGGTCCCAGGAAGGCAGGCAGAGCTGCTTCAAAAACAGAAGGCAAAGCCAGGCATGGCAGCAAATGCCTGTAATCCCAGCATTCGGGAGGCTGAGGTAGGAGGATCACGGCAAGTACTAGGCCAACCTGAACTACATAGAGACGCTGTCTCAAAAACAAAAACAAGATGGGCATCATAGTGCACACCTAAGCCAGCACTCTGTAGGCTGGAGCAGAAGTTCACAAGTTTGAGTGCAGCTTGGCTAACTTAGTGACTTAGTGAGACCCGGTCTCCAAATGAAAAATAAAAAAAGGGCTGGCTATGTAGTTCAGTGAGAAGGCCCTGTACCACCCGCAACAAACACGGAAGGTATTTGGTCAGGCAAGGAACCACAGAGCTGCCTTCTATCCCAGGGAGTCAGAACAAAGCGAACTACGTTCCCCTGTTGCTGATCCCCAAGCCCATTGTTGTCGCTTAAACAATCTCAAGCTCCTCCGCGGCGTGGGCAGGTGTTCCATGGATTTGTTTTGCTGGGTTCAGACACATTCGTGCTGGCGCTGCCTGGACACGTTGCTGACGTCACTGGGGGACAGCTGGATCTTCACCTGCCTTCTCAGCTTGGGAACAGCTCAAGGTCTGCAGCTTGTGTGTTTAAGATAGCAGGGCTCA